TTTGAATCTGACAGAGTAGGCATGTTCCAGGTTCCATCAATGAAACAGTTTTTTGCTGCAGCCTCTGTCCTACCCATGTTCAGATTGTCTTGACCCTTTGATCTTTTAGAAAGCCATAAAATCCTGGCTGTCTTTCCAGGCATTGGGCCAACGTATTAGATGAGCCCATATTATAATGGTTTAGGGAAATTACAGTGATTTACCTTTTATTTTTGTTATTTTTGCTGGCTATTTTAACTCAGTAATATGTAAAGCACACATTTTCTTATACTACAATTTTGGTTCAGTAAATGGTGTAGTTTTAAAATAACATGGAAGCACCTCCATGTGTTTGTTCAGTTTCTCTATGACTAAATGATACTTGAATCTAGTAGATGTTTCTGTCAGAATAGAAAAATCCTCTGGAGCAAATTGAGGAACAGAGAAGCTGCCAACAAAAAAGAAATTGTTTCCCTTTTACTAATAAAAACCTTTATTAGATGTAATGTCGTTTTTCTGGGAAATACAGTAACTGGATGTCATTCACAGAAAGGAAATGTCAGTGCAGTACTTACTGGGTATTATTGCTTATTTTAGTACCAAAATAAAAGCTATCGTGAACCATCAAATTGGAATGGGCCATTTAGGCTATTTAGCCCAAGTCGTGCCTAAGTCAACAATCCAAATTAAAAACTTTCTCACAGATGGTCTCTCTTCTGTATGAACACATCCAGGAAATAGGTCCACTGTGCTCTCTAGCAGGCTCTGTGTTTAAAAAAATTTCTAGTGTTATTTTAATAAATATTTAAAAATACAATCAGTAAGAAATATGAAAAGGAAAGTAATGTTGAAATGTTTAAATTTGGTTTAATAGATTTTTCTAACATATAAGTGGTATATACTTTTCTGTTATATAAGACAAATATTCTTATGGGTCCATTTGAGTTGAGCAATTACAACAAATCTAAAATTAATAAAACATTTGGTCTTGTACTCTAGGATGAGGGGACCAGATCTTTCTCTGTATCATACTGTTCAAATAGTTGAAAAGGGCTTTTTTGTTCTCTTCAGTTGTTTGTTCTCTAATTTCTCCTTCAAAATCTTAATTTTTAGTCCACTGATCATCTTTATTGCCCTCCTCTGAGCTAATTTCAATTTATTTGAATCCTTTCTAAAATGTAGCCCTGATCTGGACATAATATTTAAAGGGTGGTTTGACTCAAGCCAATAGAGTGGCACTATTACCAGAATTTGGAAATTATACTTTTATTGACAGTAAATAAAACTGTATTTGCCTTTTTTAGCAACCATGTTATAGTGGTTATACATATTCAAGTTCTAAAGTGTTGCTGGCAAGCTAGATTTCCTTAATTTTATAACCGTGCATCTGATTTAATGTTCGTAAGTAAATAACTTTGTTCAAACTTTATCAGCATCCTTTTAAACAAATATAAACAAATGAAATCTACAGGATAAATTTTGATAGAGAAGTCTGGAGCTAGACCAAAACTCTGTGGGTGGTCATAAAGAAATAAATAAACAATATAGTTATCATTGACTGAAAAAAATATTTAAAGTTTTTTCAATGGGGGGAGGAGCATTGTGCATTGAACATTACTGTATACAAAAAAGTTAGATTCAAGTATGGTATCTTGAGGTTTGTTTCCAGCTTGCCTGGCTTTGTAGTCTTTGTAGATAGGATTTTCTGAAAACATCACACTAGAATCTGTTCTTGTCCAGCAATAAAAACAATTGTGAAACCAAAAATACCTATTCTATGTTCTTGACTTAGGTTTATTTTAATAGTACTTATGGTAATTTGGTCACCTTAAACTGTTCTAATACATTCAAACTCTTCCATTTTTAAATATTAGAAATCTAAAACTTCAATAATATTGAATTTTATTTCACAAAGACACCAAAGGTTAAGTTATGATAGATGTCACAATGGAAGGAAGCAGGAAACTATCTTCCTTTTAATGCTGGGATTCATGCATGATTTTAATAGTTGGCAAACTCATATTTTAACCATTTTCCAAACAAAATAGGAGAAAGTACACTCAAAGGTGACACATCTTCTAAGTGTACAAGACATCAGGCCTGCATATGCAAAGCTGTGCCTCTGGCCAGTTGTTTTGGCTGTCACGCAGTAGATATTCTTTAGGACAGGACAGGGCCTGGGCTTCCCAGATCTCTTGGGTTTGCTTCTGCCCACTCTATTTACCCATCCCGTTTGACGCTATCTTCTTTTTTTCCTTATCTGCCTTCTTATTTTCTCCTCTGGCACAGCAGCAGATAAAGGTCCTAGACTACAATGTTCCATGACATCCATGGTCTTGTGGACAGAAAAACTTATACTGAACCCAAGTTCAGTTTTCTGTTTCTTCTGCTGTAATCACTATTATATATATTTTCCACAATCACAGCGATAATTTCAGCAAGAAACAGAACATATTACAATAACTATTTTGTAATACAATTCATACATTCTACTGTCATCAGCCCTGCTGGGCAGTTAATGGGCACAGTACAAAACATCTGGATGGCATCATAATATGGTTTAGAAGTGCACTGCTAATCAACTAATGTACATAAATTGGCATATAGTTAATATCAACTGTTCTGAAAAGAACTGAAGAGGAGGCTATTAAAAATGAAAACTCTGATTTAAATTAGTCCCAAATCAAATTCATAGACTTGCAGCATTGTTAGATATACTTGGTGTGATGCCCTGATGGGATCAGTTTAACATTCCTTTTCCTTGTCAAACTCAATACTTTAAAAAACAGTTCAAAGCCCAGAAATAGTGTAATTAGATCTGACTTGACTCTCTGAAACAATGTAAAATATGTCAGATTCATAAAAAATGTATTTCTGCTTTTAGTACAAATATTTTAACATCCATGCACACTTAGATTGAACATACACATTTGGAATTCATTTTACCGCTCAAAGAACTAGATATATGCATAAATCTCTACATAGTTTGAAACACAAATTTACCTAAAAAGTAATCCTGTGTATCAAAAGAACTAGTTTTTCAGTGTATTCAGTGTATCGATTTAAAATAAGTTTATACAGACTGCTTTTTTTCTTAGTAAGAACACTTTCTTCTGCACTACATATAAAATAAAAAAAATAAAATAAAAAAACATTAGTAATAAGAAAAGCATTGCTGATTTTGATTTAGGAAATAAAAGAAGTAGAAAATCAATTCAAGCCAATCCACACAAAGAACAACAGAGATGCCAAGGCACTTTAAATAGTGCTGTCATCATCCTCAGCAAGATTAAATGAGGATTCTGTTGACTAAATGTGGCAAGAAAGCTTTGCTAAACCCAATTCCAGTATAGCACGGTTTTTAAACCAGTGGTACAGGTACCACCTGTGGTACATTGGCATCTGGCAAATGGTACGCAACCATCCTAGAAAAGTAGTAGTGGGGGAGGGGAATGAGCTGAACCGGTGGCAGCACCGCACAAGCCTGAGCTAAGGATGACTGGAGCTGCAGGGCTGTCAGGGCTCAGGGGAAGCTCCAGGATTAGCTCCTCTTCGGGACTGTCAGGACTCAGTGGAAGTGTCAGGATCAGCACCAGGCTCCAGCTGGACCTTGGCGCTGATCCTGGCGCTTCTGCTGAGCCCAGAAGAGGCGCCGATCAGCTGGAATGTTGCAGCATCTGCAGGGTCTTGTGATTTACATTCAGATGCTTGGCAACTGATTCATATTTATGACCGTCACAGTGTCCCAGGGTCATGTGAAGTGACCAAAACCTGCTGCAACCACCCAGTAGACAGGGAGAATAAAAAACCAACCACCCCCACCCCACCCCCACTGTCAATCTTCAACAGAAATGCTCACAACAATGAAAACCTCAAACAGGAGGAAGAGCGCCACTGGGTGGGCAGGCAGGTGTCTTGCCTGGCTGTGCCTTGGGGAGCACTTTTTTCAGTGCCCTTGTAACTTCTAACAGTCACTAAGCGAACTGTTGTAAGTCGAGGACTACCTGTACTTTATCACTTTTTTTCCTTTTTTTTTGTCATCAAGTTTTTGACACCTTGCTAGGGGACTGGTGGTACTCGGATATTGCCATATCCTAAAAGTGGTACAATGGTTGAAAAGGTTGAAAAGCCCTGCACTATAGGATAGATTTTTAAAACTAACAAAGGGATCTTTCCAAGAGTAAACCTTAGGCCTTTTCCACAAATGACAATAAAATCTCCTCCCCCCCCCTTTTTTTTCTTTGCATCCCTAATTGAATACAAAACCTCAACTGGCTCAAATATGTACTCACATTAAAAACAGTTTTCTCAAGATTTCCACGCGAATATGCGTTCTAGCCCAACTTTCCCTAGCATCACTTCTGAAAATACATTACAAATGGGCAAAGAAAGAAAAAAAGCAAATTCACAGACCAACCACTTACCATTTTCACGCGGCTCCCTCCCCCGTGGCTACCTGTGCCCCGAGTGCAGTAGCTAACAAACTGCGTTAATCATCCAATTAGTAGTTCAAAACCTGACTTCGGGCTTCAGCGTGACTGACTTGCACAGTTCAGAAAAAGATGCAGAATAAATGACATTCATCTGTAGAAAGGCCCGTTTTGGAACTCACCAGCCATCCCTCCAACCCTTCTTCAAAAATGACCGCCGGGGTCCCAAACGCCCCGGCATTAACCGATCCGCCGCAGGAAGGACGGGGCAGCGTTTGGAATAAACACCCAGCCGACACGCCCAGGAACAAACGGACGGGCCGCCTTGGCGGGGGGGGGGCAATGCCAATCCCTCGGGAGACCCCCCTCCCCTCCCCTCCCCCCAGTCTTTCCTCTTCAGCCCCTTCCCGGGAGAAGAGAGGCACCTCCCGCCTTCTGGGGGGGGGATTTCGGCATCAAAAGTCCTCCCACCTTCTAACCTTTCCCCCGTCGCCCCCGCCCTCCCCTCTTAGGGGCCTCGCGTCTCCCTCTGTTCGCGGCAGCCTGGAGCAGCGAAGGGTCCGCATCTCTTCTCGCAGTACCCGCCCTTACCCTCCTGCTCTTCCATGGCGCTCCCTGCCAGACTCCGGCTCACGGCCGCTGCTGTAGCAACACGGCCACCTCCCAGCCGCTAACATCCCCGGCGTCTATTGGTTTCCCAGCACAAGGAGGAGTGGAAGGCGGAGCGGCGCGGCACGCAGTGCGGATGGGCTGGACTAGGCTGCGGCTCAGTCTCTGTCTCCTTTGCAACAGGCAGGGCTTCTTTCTTCTCTGCGGTCACCGCCCTGGCGTAGAAAAGGGCGGGCTTTTCGGTGTCCAATTTTCTACTCCCAATACCTTTAATTGGCCGTATCTCCCAGGGAACTTTTTTTTCTTATCTTCTGACAGAGTATTTTTTCTTTTGCATCGCGCCCACCATAAATACCAGACGTTTTATTTTTTTGCTTTTCCTCAGGGAGGGGAGGATTCGCACCGTAGTTAGGCGCCATGGCATGGTTGGAGTCCTGGTGACTGCAGGAGTGTCTTTTGGATCTTATAATAATGTATGGGACGTGAATGGTTACAGATCAGATGAAGTTAAAGCTGGTCACATTAGAGCAAGATTGCCCAACCTTGGCATCTTTAAGACTTGGGAACTTCAACTCCCAGAATTCCTCAGGCAACATGGCTGACAGGGGAATTCTGGGAGTTGAAGTCCACAAGACTTCAAAGTTGGTCACCTGTATTAGAGGCTCAGTAAAAACAACCAAGAAGCAAAAATAAACATTTTCACTGAAGGGAAGAACATTACAAAAATATAGTTTACACCATCACTCAGCAATGGTCATAGAATCATTTGGGTCTACGGCCTCCTTGAAAAGGGAAACGTTCAGTGCCTTTCTAAAGCAGAGGAAGGATGGAGATGAATGGGCCTGGGGAATGCTATTTTGGAGGGCAGTAGTAATAGGCACATTTCTTCAGGGGAACTGAAATGTGTCCATCTTGACATGAGTTGATGGGACAGGCAGAAACAACTGGAGACAGGCTGTACCGCTTTATTGAGTGACCATATTTTCTTGAATAAAAATAAAGAGCAAGTTGTCTAAATTTGATTTTTGACCCAAATGTAAGCTGAAACAAACCTGGTGGGGAATCTCAGAAGGAAACAGAGTGAAATGGGTATGCTTAGCCTCTTTTTCCTTATTCTCTACATTGCTTATCCACTAGCCTGTCTACCAGTCTTCTGAAATCATTCCTTTCCTATTCTTTGTTTATCTCTTCATTCAGTTCTTGTACTTATTCTTAAACCTGGTAGCAAGGGACAGTATTTGTGAGGGTTTGGTCTGTTGTTGTATAGTCATCTCTTTTCCCATCTTTTGGTTAAATCCCAGGAAATACATAATAAAAAATCTCTGCTTTGAGATTTTGTTTCAAAGGAAGCATCCTCTGTCACTTTGCCCGGTACAGTAATCTTGTAAATATCACCAAAAGACATTTGCAAGAAATTTTAATACACTGTATGTAAATGACATTCAAAAACAGGATTATCTTTTGCAGGGAAAAGAAACATTTTGAAAATTAAAAAAATACACAATGCAAATATCATTTTAAGTATGGAATTCTAATACAGTAAAATGTGAAATAAAATAAAATGAATATATACAAATGTGTCATTGAATTTTTTTTTACTGTTTCTTGCACATTTTAAGTTCATCTTTTTTAAAAGAATACATATAAGGATATTTTAATGTTTACAGCTCAGCATGGGTACACAATACTTACTGTAATAAAAGAACAGATGAATTATTGTCAACAATGGTCAGAATGAATATTAGGTAAAGGAGTATCTGTTAAGGGGACAGTTGAAAGTGTAGTATATCCCGAAACTACTTTCTGAATGAGAAGATCAAAATCTGCTTGATGGCATCTGTAGTGTCACAATCCAAGCCCTGTGTCATTTGTACATGCCATTTGATTTTGATCATCATCTGCAAATGGTCCTGGGCTGAAGATAAAGTTGTATTATTGATGTCAACAATTTATTAATATAGAAGTGCAGTTTTTTTGGATCATGTTGAAAAGGTGCTTAAAGCCTCATGAAAGCTGTACGTTTTTATGGCTTCATTTGGCAGTGTTTGAATTAAGGAGATACCAAAAGTACATATATTTTGGTTCAAAAAAAAAAAGTTGTGAGTAAGAGGCTTTAGAACCCATATTTCTAATTATTATCAATAATTATCATTTTCCTCCCTTCACCTCTCTGCCTTTCTTTACTGATGTTCTACTGTGTATACTTATAAGTCATTACATGTCATCCCATGTGCCAACTTGTAAGATCATGGCAATGAACTGAAGTAATGAGGTTTGATGCTCTTTATAATTCAAAAGGTGAATTACAGAATATAGAAGACAATCTAGACCTAGGTGAGACACCAACATTGATCAATACCCAACCATAACTACTCTCTAAAGAATTCCCCATTCTCACACATTTTTTTAAGAATGCGGAGACTGCCAGAGAATGGAGTATGCTCTCACGCAATCTCTGGATCCTCTAGAAGTTGTGTGGGAGGGCTGTGCTCTCATGCGGTCTGCAGAGCTCCAAAAATCACAAGCAAACTGCATGCTTTCATGTGATTTTTGGAGGATGCAGAAGCCAAAGAGCAAGTTGCTTCATGAATGAAGGCCTTGTGTGATATGGAGCTGCCTTGGGTAGGCTGCAGGGGCTGACCAACAGTAAGAGAACACCACCTGGAGATAAGGGGTGCAAATCAGATCCTGGGGATCATATACATGAGTGGACTATATATTTAAAAATAAATGAATATGTAAAGATTGTTTTTCTTTTGTTCGGGGGTGATGGAGGCAGGAGGTGACATATGAGCAGAGTCAAGTGAGGCATTTTCTGAATTTTTGACATGCTGAGCCCAAAAAGTTCACCATCACTGGTTCAATGTGTTATGCAACCCCAGAAAATGTTTAAGCAAAGTATTTTTGTTTAATCATGAACAAATACGTTATGTGCTATAAACATAGCCACAATGACAGTCAAAAGTTCAGTGTGTCATCAGATTTGCAGATCTGCAAAATTATGAACAAATAAGCAAATTCTTCTCATTAAATCATAAAAACAAAAAAATGTCAACAAGGTGTCTTTCTAGAATAATTTGTTTTTAAAAATAATTTATAATGGTGAAAACATAGTGTTAGAACTCCCCCTGCTGGCTCTGAAAAATAATTCTGCACATTTTTTCAGAAGTATAGAAAGTTGGAAGTTATGATATTGCTGTTGTAGCATCACTGGGATCATGCGATCACAATTTGGTTGCTTGCCAGCAAGCTCAGAGTTATGATGGTAAGAATATCCCCCAATCATGATTGCCATTTGCAACCTTTACTGGTAGCTTCCAACAAGCAAAGTAATGGACTGCCGGCAGGAGGTTGCAAATGGTGATCACACGATGTGGTGCCTAATGACTACATGTGGTTCATTTAACAACAGCAACTGGAACTGCCACAAGTGTCGTAAGTTGGTGCGATTATGTGACATTAACACTAAGCTGATTAGAGGGGTTACCCGTCACAATTACTGGCATTAAGCGAGGACTACCTGTTTGTTTTGTAGGTTGTTTCACTAAATGCACAAACTATTGCACAAAATGCTGTAATCTACTGCAGCAGTCTCCAACATTTCCGGCTTTGTGGACTGGCGGGTGGGGAGAAGAGGGGATAATTCCCCATGAGCAGGTGAGCACGTGCAGCTTCATTTGTGCTTGCTCGTCCACTGTACATGCAAGTGGAGTTGCTTCTGTGGCCAGTTCTGAACAGGCTGCAGTCCAGTGGTTGGGGACCTCTGATCTATTGCATAATTATTTACAATTTCATTACAAACCTGGCAATGTGTATGTTTCTTAAAGTGGCCAAGTTTGAGGACCCCTGATTTAAGGCAACTTGAAATGTGATATGTTTTTACATGTTTGTCCAAGACTCCCGTCCTGTTTTGATGTCACTGATGTCCCTTGGTAGCAAAGGAAATGTTGATAGAAACATACACATTGCCAGGTTTGGAATTTGTGATCAATTTATAATTGTTAGAATGTAGTGGTATCAGACGTATCCTTTCTGTAATCACTATATGGTTTATATGAAATTGCCTTGTATTCATGAGACATTTAGACCAAGATGGATTTCTGTACATTTCTGTAGCTTTGCTAACAATGTCTTAAGATCGTGTCCAAACTGTGGTACTGACTAGCATTTCTGCTCAACAAATTGTTGGCACTGTAGGTATTCCAAAAAGGACAGCATCCCTAAATTTCATCTTTTTTCTTACAATTGCAAATTCATTCACTAAAATCTCTCTGTAGATGGCAAGATTTATATAGCATACTTAACACATTGGCAAACCTTGTAATCTCATGTCCCTCTAAGATGGTAAATAAATTTATGAACCCCTTCCCTTAATAAATAAATCTAACAAGCTCTTCTTTGGTAGCAGTGAATGTGCCATCTGTTTAATATTAAATGGGTTCTTCACTATCAATTATTATCCCATTTATGTAAGCAGAGTTGGAATTCTTTCAGGACTTGTCCTGTTGTTGCCTTCTCAGAACACAGTATAAATTTGCATGTGCAAAATAAGAATTCTTACAGGGCTTTGACTCTGCAAGCAGATATGCTTTTTGCTCTGGACAGCAAAACATCCATTCACTATTGATTTGATGTATTTGCTGTTGACTAGTTGACGGCTGCCATGTAAGAGAGATCCATCCTTGCAACTCCTGTATGCCAAACAAGTAGGGCAATGTAACTGCTGGTGTCTTCTGGACTTCAGCTTTATGCATGCAAAGATGAGTCATACAAGAACTTGGTTCTGTTCTTGCTAGACAGCTTGTCTAGGGAAAGCAGATCTGAGTTCTCTCAGAATTCTGCTTTGCATACATGATACCCCAGTTACAACTATCCTCAGATTTAAACTTATACTTTGAGAAATTTTGCCCCAGTGCATGGAGATTGAAATTCCTCAAAATCATCTGCCTGGAAATCTTAACACTAGTTCTGAGATAAAACCAAGAAGAGAGAGAGGCTGTTAGGTAGCAAAAATAAACTATATATGAGAAGCACCTTTCCTCAAAATTGTCAACTTTATTTACAGGACCTGCATCTAGCTGTCTGCACAGCAATAGCAATAGCACTTAGACTTATATAACGCTTCAT